TGTTTAACTATGGTTATAAAATAATAATGATAATAAAAACGTGTGGAAATAAATTCAGGTGATCTACTTCATATCCACAATTTAAGATTTTATGAAGTTTACATTGTTAAATTTTTATACGTTTTTACTTGGTTTTGTGACAGAGAAATTTAATAAGAAGTATTTGAATGTTATGATTTGCACAATTACGTTATACAGTCAAACCTCGATATCTCGAACTTGAAGGGAGAGGAGAAAAAATTCGAGATATCGAAAATTTGAATTATCGAAAATCGCATGTTATCGATGTTAGAATAAAAAAAAATGCTCTTTACATACCTTATTTATTCTATATTTATTCTAAAAACACTTTTTACACTTAAAAAGATTCAATTGTTTGCTTTAGAGATGTGTAAGAAAGTTTGTCTATAACGCTTTCTAAGTGGACTATAGCTTTAAATGTCTCCTCCGACACATTCAGCTGTCTCTCAATAAATCTCCTTATAGTGTCTACAGCAGAAAGTGCTTGTTTGAGAATTGTTTACGATTANTCCCAGCGATGACTGGTTGATACGAATTCCGCACCGACCACAGTGCTGACGTAAAATATCCTCAGTAGTAGACGGATCATGGGCTAGGATACCCTTGCCCTCAGGCTAACTGTGGGTGGTTTTACTGGTTTTCACCTACATGTAACGCAAATGCAGGTTAGTTCTATCAAAAAGTCCGCCTCAAAGGCAAATTTCTCCTAATAATTGATACAGGAGTTTCGTCTTCTGGATTGGGTTCAAAATTACAAGGCTATGGAGTTGAATATTAGTAATTGTAAACCGAAAATTGGGTCAGCTGTTTAACTTTGGTTATAAAATAATAATGATAGTAAAAACGTGTGGAAATAAATACAGGGGATCTACTTCATATCCACAATTTAAGATTTTATGAAGTTTACATTGTTACATTTTTATACGTTTCTACTTGGTTTTGTGACAGAGAAATTTAATAAGAAGTATTTGAATGTTATGATTTGTACAATTACGTTATACAGTCAAACCTCGATATCTCGAACTTGAAGGGAGAGGAGAAAAAATTCGAGATATCGAAAATTCGAATTATCGAAAATCGCATGTTATCGATGTTAGAATAAAGAAAAATGCTCTTTACATACCTTATTTTTCCATATTTATTCTAAAAACACTTTTTACACTTAAAAAGATTCAATTGTTTGCTTTAGAGATGTGTAAGAAAGTTTGTCTATAACACTTTCTAGGTGGACTATAGCTTTAAATATCTCCTCTGATAATAAATCTCCTTATAGTGTTTATATCATATAGTGTTATAGTGTTATAGTATATTATCTCCTTATAGTATACAGCAGAAAGTGCTTGTTTGAGAATTGGTTACGATTATGAGAATTAGTTTTCGGTTCTTAAAAATTTTTTTGGAATATTTTTTTTATTTTCTGAAAAAAATCTACACTATTTATGGAAAAAAAATTCAAGTTATCGAGGGATTAGAAAAAAAAAATCGAGTAATCAAGGTTTTTTTAACATTGAGTGTATATGAAATTTGAAGGGAGTTTTTTTTTTTTTCGAGATATCGAAAAATTCGTGAAATCGAGGTTCGAGTTAGCGAGGTTCGACTGTATATCTGACTGAATTTTAACTAGGTGCAACTGAATATCTTGCTGCGTATTTTGTTTAGTAGCGCCTTATGTGGTGAATTGTGTTTCGCATAAATGTATGTTTGCGAAAGGATTTTTACACCGTCTAGCTGACAAGAAGTTAACTAAGTTATTTTTTAATTTCAAAATTTAAAATATAGTGCAGCAAAAACTTTTTAAATTTTAAACATGTTCTACTTTACCACCACAGAGTACTGGGGGTAATTTTGCAAAGAGAAGTGAGAACCTCTGGAATTAAGCAATGTGAAGTAGTCGACCGTTTTTTCCCCCTGCAAAATTTAAAGATAGTTTCAATATTTTATAATATTGTTTGTTTTTAAAATATTGAAAAAAGTGAAAAAGCGTGTTAATATGTATTTTAAAATATAATTTTAATCTTATCGACATTAAAAACGTTTTATAATTCTATTTTAGTTTGCTCATTGTAAAAGTACTATAATGTATTTAAAGGCATTTATTCTAAAGTAAATTTCAAGCACAGCGACCTTCATTTTTATAGAAAGTATTACCCAAATTAACAACATTTAGCCATATAGTTTTTTTCTTCATATTTTTATTTATTTATTTTGTAAATTATTCCGGTAAATATGATTTATTTCCTAAATTGGAGACATAGGAATCAATTAATCAGCTTAAGAACACATTTTCTTCTAAAAATTCAGATTTCTGTTTAAGGGTAAGAGGATAAAGTTTTATTTTTATCGAATATTTTGTCATCAATTGGGGATAATTTTTTTTAAAGTGGTGGTAGGGTTAATTCAAACTGGAAAAATGGTCTACATCTCAAACTGAAATGACTGTTATGTTATTATCATGATACTTATGATCATAATGCATGATATGGCTGTTGCATTCAGTATATTGCAATACTGTTTTGATATTTCATTTAATTTATTACAATTCTGTTCTGAGATTTCATCAAATTAACTATAAAAATGTTACTATATTTTATCTAATAAATTACAGTATTGTTCAAATAGCTTAATTTAATAAATTTGTTGTTTAATCATCATGTTTCATTAAATCAATTACAATATTGTTATGATATTCCATTTAATAAATTATATTATTATGATATTTTATTTACTCAATCACAAAAAAGTTATGATTCTTCAAACCTAATACGATATTGTTATGATATTTCATGAAATAAATCACAATATAGTTATGATATTCCCTTTAATCAATTACATTATTGTAATATTTTACCTAACACAAGGTTATGATATTACATTCAATCTCTTACGATATTGTTATGATAATTCATTCAATTAATAACAACATTGTTATATATTTCATTTACTCAATTACATTATTGTGATAATCCTCCATTTTTTTTTTCAAATTTGCTTTTATTTTTAATCAAATAAATTACAATTGATTTGACATTTCATTCAAATAATCACAATGATCTTTGATATGTCATAAACTTTGATATTTCATTAAATCCAGCTGATTGACGGAAGCGACTAATAATAAATATAATAAATATTCCCTAATAATAATCTGGTGTATATATATGTTACCGTTAAAGTGTTTTATTCAATTATTTCTTAAAATAACTAGGAATTTTATAAAATAACTAGACAAGTCAGTTAAAGTATAGATTAAAAATTTCGTACTTTACCTAGTAATTCTATGAAATAACTAACTGCAGAACGTTAAAATAAACAATTTCAAAGCTATTTTATAAATTAATTGACCATAAATAGCTAAAATGTCTCGAAAAATACACTTAATACCTATTGCGGCGGATTAACTGATAAAAAATTAGGAAAAGCAGATGATATAATTTTTTTTTTGCTCGTAATGCTCATATTACTAACTACGTCTGAAAGCAACGGAATGAATCGTACACACACGTCATTGCAAAGCAGGTATAAACTGTTCAAAACTGACTAAAAGCATCTAGAACCGTTTCAAGAACTTTCATACTTTAACGATCAAGTAATCGTTATTCTATAGAATACCTAGTTAAATGGTAGAAATCAATAATTTTATATACTTTAACTGGCTTGTCTAGTTATTCTATGAAATACATAGTTATTCTATGAAATAAATAGTTATTTTTTGAAATACATAGTTATTCTATGAAATAACGGATTTCCCACTTTAACAGTAACATATGCTCTATAAGTAAGTTCGTAGCATGCTACATATTTGCTCGGGAACAAAATAACTATGCATGAGCATTAAGCATAAGTCAACATTATAGAAACATTCAATTCTCATTGTGCAATTACTAAGTATAGTCTTCTAGAAATACTTCGAATTACTGAATTTCAAGACAACAATGATGTGGGTGTACAGTAAAGTACCTCTTAATGTAAAGATTAAATAAAATTTCACTGTCCGTTTCGCGTGGGTGAATAGCAGAATAATTGCCTTGCTGATTTATTTATGGCCTTTACATCCTACGTATTAAATTAAATAAATCACCGCCCGCCGATAAGACGCATAACTAAGTGCCATTAGCATTGTAATTTGCATGCTTACCACCACAAATTATGTCAGAATGTGTGAGTAGAATGAGATGTCTCGCTGAGTTACCGGATGTGAACAAAATGAACTGTTTGAACCGGCTCTGTTTAAAAGCCGTTATGAATCAGTTCTTAGTTAGCGTAGTTATATGGGAATTAGATTTGTATCGTTCGAGAAAGTAAAAATTTAAAATGAAATGGAGAATGAACGGTGGAATCTTGTAGTTCTATTACTTGAGTTGTTTTTATTTGGTACTAATGGAAACGAAGAACTCGCAAATATTGCTATTTTTTTTAATATTTGTTTTGTTTTTACTACGCATTGTCTATTATTTGCTCGATATGTTTTAAAGTAACAGCATTGCTTGTTTAAATTTACGATGACAAAAAAACAGGAATAAAACAGTTATTTAATGATAAATGCACCATTTATCATACCAGCTCGATATTATTGCTTAAGCACTACTTGCTTGATGATAGGTAGGCCGCGATATACCAATCTCGTGTAAATCAGACTAGTGTGCTGACTTTTCATGAATTATTTCTTTTCTACGAAATATTAAATGTTTAATTCCTTGTAGAAATAGGAACAATCTTTTCTATGTCTTCCATATGAAAGATTGTTGTGATCGATTTGAATGACTTTAATAGTTTCCTTACTAACTATTTACGTAAATTGTTAGCTATTTATGTAAATTGAAAGTTAACTATTTATGTAAATTGAAAGTTAACTATTTATGTAAATTGATTAATTATTGCTTTCTAATTATATTATTGCTTTTTTCTGTTTAATCATCGTCGATTATTCTTTTCTTTTTCCTAATTATTGTTATATTACAACAGTTTTTTTTTCTTTTTAGGAAATATGCGCTCGTCCTCGTTTTATATCCGAAAACACCTCTCGTTTCGACATCGAGCAAGGAGAATTAGGTAGATAAAATTTATTTTTCTAATATATATACATTATGTACATATATACATGCATATATCGATAACATATACATACCTGCCAACTTTTAATCCCTTCCAATATGATTTTCCCAATTGGTATTAAAATGGGAATGAAATTTCAATTTTAATCAAACAAATTTGTTGTATTTGAAAAAGCTTAAGCTGACAACTATGATAGTAACGCATATTACTATAAATACTTAGTTTTCTTGGGAATAGTGGTGATCAAAATCGTTTGAAAATTAAGTTTACTAAAGAAAAAATAGTATATATTTACTACCACTTTAAATATAAAAATAAAATTTTACGCCAAATGCATAAAAGTTGACAGGTATACATATATCCATGTAGTATTTGATATCGATGAATGCTTTAAATGAGTCATAAGTGTGGTGCCATGTGCTTGTAGTGGTAAACATGCATATATCTTTGGTTCTTTGAGAAGCGCCACCTTCATTTTGTAATGCGTCAGGTGAACTGGAAAAGCCTGTTGTATATACCATAAGTCAGGAATTTTTTAGGCTTATTGCAATAGGACTAAAAACTTTTGGGCTAATTAAAAAATATATTAGTCACAGCTCAGTTACCTTTATTTATTTCAGGGCGTTTGTAATGAACTGAGAGTAGTGAGAACAGGCTCACTGCAAGCCTAGTGTAAATGTTTGAGTAATTTTACGAGCATTTTATGATAAGCCTAAGGGCAACTGGGTGGATTGTAATTGGCCTGAAAAATATCAGGATATCTAGACAATGCTAAAGATATGTTCAATCAGCCTGACGTACTGCTAAACACCTGAGACAAGTACAAAGAGCCCGATTTTCCAATTTCCTTACGCCATAAATATTTTATTTAATAATTAATGTAAGTAGTATAGTACTTTATATTTATTAGATTTAGTTTAATATTTGAGAAATAGTCTACATAAACTAGAAGCATATAACCAGATTGTTTCAATTGAATATTTTGTTGATTAGCAACAAAATGTTCTAATTTTATTATAAATTATATAATAAGTATCCATTTTATTCTTTGTTTTTTTTTAAATATAATTTATTAAATTGAGTTTTAAAAGAATTCTGACAATTGCAGATCGTATTNTGCTTTAAATGAGTCATAAGTGTGGTGCCATGTGCTTGTAGTGGTAAACATGCATATATCTTTGGCTCTTTGAGAAAAAGCCTGTTGTATATACCATTAAGTCAGGAATTTTTTAGGCTTATTGCGATAAGACTGAAAACTTTTGGGCTAATTAAAAAAGTATATTAGTCACAGCTCAGTTACCTTTATTTATTTTAGGGCGTTTGTAATGAACTGAGAGTAGTGAGAACAGGTTCACTGCAAGCCTAGTGTAAATGTTTGAGTAATTTTACGAGCATTTTATGATAAGCCTAAGGGCAACTGGGTGGATTGTAATTGGCCTGAAAAATATCAGGATATCTAGACAATGCTAAAGATATGTTCAATCAGCCTGACGTACTGCTAAACACCTGAGACAAGTACAAAGAGCCCGATTTTCCAATTTCCTTACGCCATAAATATTTTATTTAATAATTAATGTAAGTAGTATAGTACTTTATATTTATTAGATTTAGTTTAATATTTGAGAAATAGTCTACATAAACTAGAAGCATATAACCAGATTGTTTCAATTGAATATTTTGTTGATTAGCAACAAAATGTTCTAATTTTATTATAAGTTATATAATAAGTATCCGTTTTATTCTTTGTTTTCTTAAATATAATTTATTAAATTGAGTTTCAAAAGAATTCTGACAATTACAGATCGCATTAAAATTTTCGTTTTATCATGATAAATAAAATATTACTTAGATTTAAAAAAATAACTGCAATAGTTTTTTTTTCTTCCTGAAAATCTTTAATTCCTACATGAATATGGAATCTAAAAACCACTCTTTTTTTTTTTAATTTTTGAAACTTGCCAGGAAACTTATCAAACAACTTCTAATATTTTGATTGTTAGAAATAGAAATTTATTGGAAAATTCTTTCAGTTAGCTCTTCAATATTATATTACATTAGCGAGACAGTTAATGGAAAAATTACCTAAATTCCTTTACAAGGAATAAGGTGTTTTCGAGGTTGTTTTAGGGTTGACAGGCGTACAAAAACACATCTGAGGTAGAAAATGAGGTTATGTATAGCACCAAAAATAGCTTCATCAATAAACCTCAATTTAAAATCCTTTTCGCCTCATAAAATCAACTTCACATTTTTAGTTGAGTTACTCAGCAATACTTTTAGTTGAGATCAGATAGAATTATTCACACCTCAGATGTACTTATTTCCTTGAAGTGTAAAAAAATAAAATGTGCACCTAAAAAACAACCTTCCTAAGATTATTGCTCAAAGATAGATTTCCATCAACCTCAAAACAACCTCAAGTGTGACTAAAACAACTTGATACACTTTGGGGGTTGAGCTTGTTTTTTGAAGTAAAATAAACTTCAAGCAATAAATAAAAAAACAATAAAAACTTTAATAAACCTTAACACCTCGTAGCTATCTCAAAGCAAACCTCAAAAACATCTTAAATTTATGTAAGGGTTAGGTTACAATTATTTAAAAATTGATAAACAATCAACTGTAAATTAAATTTTTTTCAATAATTAACAGAAAAATTGGGAAAAAATAATTTTGGTTGCTTATGTATTCATGATAGAATTTCACTTAAAAAGCAATGACCTAATTACCAAAAAAATAAATAAACAAATAAAAATAAGAGTGCTGACCCTAACGGCAAGATAATTCGAAATGTAACGAATTCTTTTGTATGTTAAGCATGCTCAGCCATTTAACATTTCACAAGTTAATACAAAATGTTGCTCCAGACTGATATTATCGAACTCGAACTGAGATAAGGATCGTTACCATTCATTTAGCGAATGCTATCAGTCTTGGGACGTTAAACTTTCGTTGATTTTTAAGGTCCACTGAGCAGACCAATTGACTACATTAAACTCCAATTGACTGTCAGTTGACTTCCTGGTCTTAAAGGGGAAAAACTCCTGTTGAGTATGGTCATCAACTTTCAGTTATAAAGATATATTGTAACAGAGTTTTGTCTGAAAAGGTCGGGTTAATATGTTTTCCTTTTCAACCTTTGCACCCTCTTCTGCAGTTTGATAGAGATGAGAAACACGAGAAAAGGATGTCTCACAGTGTAACTGATAAAAAAGAAGAAAAGGAAGAAATTTATATTTTTTTTAGGGTACATATTTATAGGTACAAATTTTTTTTATTGAGATAATCTGTTTTTACGTAACGCAAGACTAGATAAATTAGATTGTAAAATTGAATTTTCGAATTTTAGTTACTTTTCTTTAAAAATTAATTGAATAAAAGTTACTAAAATCTTAAAGTTGAGTAAAAGAATAAGGAAGGAAAAAAATTAGTTATTTATAGGAATAAAATTAGTTTGTTGCGATAAACTGTTTTTTCTTCTTCATAAAATAACCCTGGTTAAATTAGATTGCAAACTCAATTTAAGAATTTTATAAATTTTTTTTTCAAAAATTATTTGAAAAAAGTTATTAAAATTAAGTGAAATAAAAAAAGAAGAAATCTGGATTTCTTTTTAGAAGCCAAAGCTAAGGAATTTTTTTGAGGGACAAAATTAGTTTATTGAGATAAACTGTTTTTACATAGCGCAAGCCTGGGTAAGTTTGATTGTAAAACTCAAATTTAGAATTTTAGTAACTTTTCTGCAAATACTAATAGCCAATGACAAGATATATATAATCTGATAACTCTCAGCTTAAGCAATATTTTTTTAAAAGGATCAGATGCGCAGATGTTTCGATAACATGCAGGGGAAAAATCGGATAAAATTACCTTACTGAATGGTAATGGCATTTCTGGTAAAAAAATACCATAATTCTGGTTACTAAAACCAAAATATATGGTGTTTAAACCACGTATTTTGGTATTTTTGTCATTTCATATATCAGCGCGGTTTAATGGAAATTCTTGTTTTAAAAACTCTATTACTTATTTTACTACACATTTAGAAAAAATATAAAACTGAATAGTAAATTTAAGTAAATAAATAATTTTTATGCTATGCTCTAGTGTATCAGAATAAAATTACCTAATTTTACCAAAATCATTACCAAACCACTTTGATAAAAACCGAGCATTTTGGGGTTCCCAAAGAGCCAGAAACACACAAATTCTACCATATTCTGATAGCTTTGACTATAATTATTTTTGTGTACAATCTATATTTCCAAATTATTCACTTTACGAGTGATAAAGTACTTAAATTTACAAATAAGCTTAATATATTATTTTGCGAATTTTCTTTATTACTAAATTATGATATATTACCTACCTTTTGCTAAAACTTCGTTCCATATGTTTCTGGAATTCCTAGTGTATGATAAAACTTGCTAAATTATAGCTGTATATATATTTATTAGCTAAGAAGCCAAAGAAAGTAAAAATTTGTATATTCTCGTTCCTCGCATGAAACAGATCCCATTTTATCCTTCCCTATCGTATATTTTATTAAATCTCATCGAGTATCATATAGTACCAATTTTATTACCGTACTTATTTTATAAAATAATTACAATTTTCAAAATGTTTACCAATCAAACCAAATGTTACCAATCAAAATGTTTAAATTTTTTTTTTATTTAATTACCAGCAATTTGTTTCATTATTTCTCTCTAGTTATTATCTAGTCGTCTAGTTATTGTATCTAGTCGTACAGGGTGAAAGAAAAGTATTACTACTGTACTGGGTAAAAAGTAATCGGTAGTGGTTACTACTGCGAAATTATGCGCAAAACTGAAAAGAAAAAAAACATATGCTGACACAGTTAACAAAGCTAAAGTAATTTCATTTTTTCTTAACAAAAATAATTATTATTTGTTGCCCTTCTCGTTGAATTTACTTTATTATACTAAGCAAGTCATATTTTTAGAAATTCATTCCATCAAAATAATGATTAATTTTATTCACTATCACTTAGCATAATGTTACTGTTTGCAGCCAACTCTTGCTTGTCAAATTTTATCACAATCAAGCCTATGGAAAAGACCGTAAAAAACATATTTCGATAATACTCAAGGTACGCATATTGGTACATAAATACGCTCATTTAGCACCTATTAAATTTTATTCGCATAGTACCAGTAATATCTTATACCAAAATTAAAAAGACCTCATTGGCCTCAATAATAGTAGGAATAATATTTTACAGTTTTTCTTAGCGAATAAGTAGCAACTGTTCCTCTAAATGAACTATTACCATTTCTCTATAAATTTTACCTTTTAATAAACAAATTATCTTTTTTTATTTCTATTACCATTGATTTTAAATTATTTTGTCTTATTACGTTTCATAAGCGTAAGTATGAACAAAATAAACTCGTGGCTTCAGATAACTTCAGAAATACTGATTCGGTGACGTAGTCCCGGCATTGATTATTTAGCTTAAGACATCTTCTAAAGTTTCATTAATGGCAGTAGTTGGTAACGTTGAGAAAAAATTGTTGTTCGAAAATTTCTCCCAAATGATCTAATTTAAATTTTTAAACCATTTTTAGTATTAGGGGTCGAAATTGCCCTTTGCACTTACTTTAGTGCCCAAATTTCAGGAAGCTGGCACAAACGGTTCTGGATTTATAAGAGAGACACACACTCAAACTTTTCCTTTCATAGATTTGTACATTAAAACTAATTTTATTTTAAAAAAATCTATGAAAAGCGCGAGTATACCTGGCCTGATTATTCATTTCCACATTTTAACCCCACTAAGAACTTTAAAAATTTTAATTTTTTTATTATATTCCATAAAAAAATTTTGAACTATATAGTTAGTTTGTTATTTTGATTGATTGTTTTTAACCTTTTTTTTCGCAGTATTTAATAACTATGAAATTTTCAGCTCTTCAATTTATTTGAAATTTCGTGTTAGTACTACTAATCTTTAGTAATTTTAATTATCGTGATACAGACTTCTTAAAGAATTTTTTTATTTATTTTAGAGTACTGTATAATTTATTTTATGTTATAAAAACTTCATTTGCTTCCAAAAACACGAAAATGGTAAAAGACAACCTATTTCGAGTGCTCAAAAATAGGATGCCATTCTTAAGACTCGCCCCAGACATGAAGAAGGAAATTTGTAACAGATAACCTAGAGTCATCAGCGGATAATTGAAAAATAAATGTAAGCTGAAAAACAAAACTAGAAAAACTATAGTCTGTCTAAGCTAAGAACTCGTCCCGCCACAAAGTGTGAGGCCGTCTGGTACTATGGAAGCAAGAATGGTGCATTTTAGGGAGGGTGGCTTCACTCTAGGACTAACACAATAGACCGAAGAAAGAGATTCCCTTTCTTCCGCCGATCCGAGCCAAAACCACTCCAAAACAGTAATAAACCCCGCATCCCTACTTGAAATAGTCATACCTCGTTACCATAGTCACCGCCACAGGTCCAGACGAATGTCTGGGGGAGTTCTTATTTTAGATGAACTACAACATTATTTGAAGTTTTTATTTCATCAAGTAGTCCACTTATCGTCAAGTTTTCCACTTGAGTTTCTTGGACTTATTCATCGAAAGTTATATAATTTGTTTTAAGATTATTAACGTGTTATAAGATTCATTAACTTAGAATTAATTCCCTTTAATTAAATCAGGAGACTACAGTCTCGTGGCAGCTGTTTCTTGCCTAACCATGACACCACGGTTCCTGGAAAGAGTCGTTCCTCCTGACCAAAGCTTCCACCAAGCATACTGCGGCATCTTCAGATTCCGTTTCTGGAGATTCGGTGATTGGGTGGAGATTATAGTGGACGACAGACTACCCACATCCAAAGGACGTCCACTTTTTCTGAGATCCACTGATCCCACCGAGTTCTGGCCGGCTCTTCTGGAAAAAGCTTATGCCAAGTAATATTGAAATTTTAATTCATTCAGATGTTGATGAAATTTGCTACACATGCAATGAAAGGTATAATAAAATATGAAGTAAAACGGGTGTTTCTGTTGTGGTTCTATTATGATTAGGGAATTTTTTTAGCCATTGAAAAAAAAAACACACTGCACAATACCCTACTGAATCAAACGCCTTTTTTTGAACTTTTCATAATCTTGTTGGAAAAATTAATAAGTGACACATTCGAATTACCTTCTTACTAAAATGCTAATTTAATTTAAATTGAGTTTTTGTATATAGCAAAATTGTTTATATATAGCAAAAGTTGATCATAATTAGAACACTTACCTTACAGTTGCATTGTTTTTCAATTCCTTCTATTAGTTCACACCCTAGTTATATATTGTTCCTTATATCTCCTTAAATTGTTCCTTATATCTTGTTCAAATACATTTTTTAAGCTTCTGGTGTAACACTTGATGTTAATACAGCTTTTTCAAATATTATCTCATTAATTAAATGTAATTAATTAATTTCAGAGAAAAATTTCTCTTATATTAGGTATTTAGCAGTAAAAAGTAACTAAAATAAAAAATTTTTTTGTTTACCTAAGTAGGAATTGACTTAATTTTAAAATGTCATCACAAAGATAATATACTATCACATATAAAATCAACGTAAGGAAATATAAGATAAATGAATAATAACACTGGGGAACCATCTTTTTCTTCTACTGCAAGAGATTTTTTTATCGGATCTTTAAGATACTTTTGTATCATTGGTTTCAAATCTTCAATCAGTTTCTCTCTCCAAGCTGCAGTTTTTTTCAAAAATTATATTTTTAGTTAATTTTTTGTCGAAATGTAGCCGCATGAAAACTTTATATTATAATAGATCATATAAATGTTGTAACAAACTTCTAGAGGAGTTAAGGCACATCATCAAGATTAAATTCGCATAGAAACCCATGTCCGGTAACGATGCCAGGAGTCCTACCCTATTATGAACTATTTTTAATATGTTTCTGAACAGGTCATTGTAAAGAAGTTCCTCTAGCCTAAAACTGTAACAGTAACCGGCATGAGTTCGTATGCCGTTTTAATCCAGATGATCCTCCTTAACTCCCCTAGAAATTTATAGGACCATTCATACGACCCCCTTTTTATGCATTGAACGTTTTTAATTTTTGCACATTTCGACAAAAAATGTCATTTTAAAAATATTCTGTAGCCTTAGGAGCAAAGCTTAATTTCGTACTTGAAATCCCCACACCCGAATTAGGCAATATCAAGTATTTTTTTTTACATAAATGCAACATAAAATTTGTTTGCCAACGTTATTTTTTTGAAAATAATAGCTGCAGCCCATTTTCTTTATTTCGTTTTGTAACAAATAAAAAGAGAATTGCGTCATCATTCTCTAATGGAATTCGATTTCTGCCTCTCACATCAGTTTTTTGTGTTTACCGTTCATAAAAACTTCAAAAATATGAATATTTTAAAGACATTAATGAAATTAATAACTGCATTTAAACGAAAGATTACAAGGATTTTACTTAATTGCCTGTAATGGCAACAATTTTCATTCACACTTCGGCGTTTTCATTGTCACCCTTAGATTAGATGTATAATATCGAGAGGAAGATAGTCATCAAAATAATAACATCGAATAAAATCTATAACTTTTACGTTGGAAATAAAATACCACCGAATCGAAAAATCTGGAAGTTTTATTTGAAGCAAGGGTATTATAAATCTACATAGAAAAGGATACTAGGAGTCACAATGATATACTATTTTAAATATCAGTTAGCGAAGAATTGCATGGAAATAAAACTGTATGGTTTGCTGCACTCAACTTAAAAAACTAACACTTTATTCATACCAATTTTTAAAATGTATTGCAAAGTTCATCAGTAAGTTGCCACTGCAGACTAAGAAATTCAAAATAGGTGACCTTTGCAGCAATTACGAGATGCAGCCTAAAGACAAAATTAAAATCCTTCCTACACTTTAATTTGGAATGCGCAGCAGAACATCATTTATAGTTTTACTGAGACAGCAGAACTATCTGTTAATACGGTTTGTAACTAATTTTTAAACTTGGTGTGAAAAAAAATCTCCTTTCCTAAACAGAACACAGTAAACCGTACATTTCTATCTTCATTCATATTTGTCAATCGATTTGAAACGTCAGTCATTTTAGGGCTTTCTGAAAATCGTGTTTATAGCTATCATACTGTTTTGTACTGTAGTATTGTCAAACATTTGTAAATACCTGTCTTTTTTGTTATTAAGGTTTTACTCAGGCTATTCAAATTTGCTTGTTGGAAGAACAGCTCAAGTTCTGCAAGATTTAACTGGTGGTGTGGCACAGAATTTTCGAATGTCAGAACATGATCCACACGTCATGTTCCAAACGGTCAACAGTTGTATCTCTCGGTCAACCTTACTCGCAGCTAGTATTCATACGGTAAGATAAAAGCAAACCTCTTTTCTTATCAAATGATGTATAAAAATTTTCATCTTCATCTTTACTTTTCGCACAATTAAGGAAATAATTGGATGGAGGGTGATACTTCAGAAAAATTCAGGTTTAATTGGAACGTTCTTATTTTAGTCTTACACTGCAGAAAGTTTTGGTGTATAGTTGCCATTTTTGGCATTAAGGTAAACTAAATACATTTTTTAAGTACAAAACTGTAGTTATCGTGCAAAATTTTATATAAAACTAAGAAAGTAACAGTTGTTTTTGAAAGAATTAGTGTAAATATATTATTAAAAATGTGCTTATTTTATAAATGAAATTGTTTCACACCAAAGCCATAAATTGATTCTAATTGAAAGCATGAAAATATATATTGTCAGTAAACAAACCAACAAAAATAAATAAATAAATTAATTAATGGTAAAAAGTGAACAGTGAAAAAGTAAATAAAAAATGTGACTGCGTGCACTGCAAAATAACTTAAGTTTACCTCAACATTGAGAATGGTGGCAACTATGCACCAATTGTTTTTACAGTGTGTTTAAACAACATTTATTTATACAACTTTTATTAGTTTTGATAAATCGTTTAAGTTCTAAGATGTTAATGGATGATGGATCCAAATGACACTTTCGAAGTTTTTGGAGAGAAAAAAAGGATTCAAGTGCATTTGGCAATAAGCAATCGATGAGTAATCTTAAAATACCAGTCTTCTGGAGGCGAAATAAAACGTTAAGAACGTTAAATGAGTGGTATGGAAACCTGCGAATAAAATAAATATGAAATCAAGGCCCAGTTTTTATTACCTACGGACAGCGTATAAACATTAAATGTTATTTACTTAAAATCATTAAAATGCCACTTGGATCATTCATCTACTCATGTTTTCAAATTTGAATTCAAGGAAAGAAACAAGTTTTTTCGGGTGCTCCTCAGTTTTCATTCAATGAGTAATAGTTTTTTGTAGAAATCAAGGAGCTTGTGTCTTTAAAAATCCATCCAAAAAATTGAGCAGCAACGCTTTCATGAGAGCAATCAAATTTTGAAACACGTCTCATATCGCAATGAGTTAATCTCATAAGATAATTTCTTTATATGAGAATATCAAATGTCTCTTCGCATCAAAAATTTCAAATACGGTAAGAAGATAATTTTATGAAATAATTTCTGGTATGACAATATCAAGGGCGTTTGGGTTTATGGAGTTTAGCAACATCTAAATCAACTATAGAAAGATTAAATCCACGGTTAGCCGGGAGGAATTTAAGTTCAGAGTTTAAAAAAGAAGAGTCAGAGAAAAGGTTAACCTTTCTTGCTCTTACTTTCTTCATTTTAAGTTCAGTGCTGAATATCAATGCAAGTAACGAATAGTTTCCTGATCGTTATCAGTAGAATTTAACACCATAAAAAAGCCAAAAGAAATTTATCTGTTGTACAAAATCAGCTTCAATCACTTCGTGACCACCATTAGCATAATGTATGACACCACTTTATCATTAATCGAAATTTCGATCACTCTTCGAGTATCTAGAGTGCTTACATTTCAGCTCATGTCGGATGCCCATTTAGCTAGCAATTGTTTCTTAAATGAAGAATGTAAACTTTTGTCTTTGTACCACTAATCTGAGTTTAGATCACTTTCTAACATGAACAAACTAGCCATCACAAAGCTAAAAGAAAAAAATCTATAAAATAAAGAAATTAAAAACTGTATTTTTTATAGAAGAAAACAAAAACAAAAAAATTACTTTATTTTTGTCGAACTTAAACGAAAGGAGTGATTTCGTCTTAGACTTTATCACCATTAAAAATTCCTCAAGCCTGTCGAAAGTGACGAGCCCTACCTTTTTCGTTTAAGGCCTGATAAACATTAGTTTCCTGTTTTTCAGTCCACTCAAAAAACGTAGTTCTTAAAATTTTTATAAAATTTTAACATTATTGATTTTTAACTTTCGATTCCCAAACGCAAATTAACTGGAATGATCTTTTCTTATTTCCGATTTATTGAGATTACATGTTACTTTCTCCAGTTGGAATTCAGTTAATTAAGCTAAAAATACCTTGTTTTAATTTGCTTTCAGGATCAGCGCTCACCTGTGCGACTACGTAATGGATTAGTTACGCAACATGCTTATAGTGTGACTGGACTGGCAAGGGTTAGTATAGATCTTCTTCTAATCATCTTAAGAAACACTTAAAATAAAAATATTTTTAAACGGAATTACACGCTTTGCTTCTTCTTTTTCAACTCATTAGAAAATAGATTATGGTGGTTAGCTGCAATCTTTCTGTTTTATCTTCTTACTACCACGCACTTTCCATTTCAAGAATGAAAGTGCGTATGCTTGAAAAAGTTCACTCAAATTATTGATTAGATTGATTAGAAGGTTTCTTCCGGTATCCCCTGTAGTTCATGGTTTACTGGGATTAAAGAGAACTTTCTGAGCTGTATAAGCCTTAGGCTATCAGATGTAAAACTCTCATTTTTGATGATTCAACAACACTGAGGCATTTTTGATAAAAATTGCGATGCGAAATGACTTCAAAAATATTTGACGAAACTGCTTTCCTGCTTGTGTGCCCTACCAATTTTTTTTTATAACCGTCGTTGAACAACCGACCCAATTTTGAGTTTATGACTACTGATGTTCAACTCCGTAGTCTTGTAATTTTGAGCCCAATCCAGAAGACAAAGGAACTCCTGGATGAAGTATTGGGAGAAATTTGTCTTCGTGGATATATGTTTTCCTTCATGCTTTATTCATTTCTTCAGGCATTTAAAAGATTTATTGTTGTTTAATGAAGACGTTTTTGTGCATTTCTTTATTTCGAATATTTTAAATCCCAAAGAAATATTTTACCAGACTAATATTAGCCTCCTTTGATTAAATGTCGATTTTTATACTTCAAATGTGCCTGGTTAATATCTTAATCTAAAATAAACAATATTCGTCATCGATATAATTATACTTATTAAGTCACATCAAAATTAAAGCATGCAGTTACTTACAGTCATTTTAATTCATTCGTTTTTATTCGTAGTTTAAACATATGCATTGCATCAAATAATGTCCATCAAAACTTGTTCACGAAGTTCAATATTTTTTTCCGCGATTATTTAAATGTAAGCAAAATATACACAAAATAGATATCGTAGCTGCTACATTGCAAACTGTTTGGGTTAAAAGCAATAATAATATTTTTAAAGGATATTTCTCCTTTTGAAATATTTCTTCAAATTAGTATTTAAATAGAAAAGTGAAAAAACTGTTATGATCTTAAATGCAGTTTGCAAAACAATATTTAAGCTTTCCTTTTTAGTTTTGTAATGCAAAAAATCAAGTAGTGCTAAAACCAATTTATAAGATTGTATTAAAATCGTTTTAAACTAAAAATCCTGTTTTAGAAAAAAAAAGAACCAATTATTTAGCGTTATTAAGTTTACTAAGTTTGATATAATTCTTTAGCTATATAAATCAAATATGAAACAAACGAGTCATAATTTTTTTAACGACTCTTTAATCTGCGTATTAGTTCAAAGAGATCAACTAAATATCACATCATGATGAGACGGGTTCAAAAAGAAGTTAGCAAAGATATTCTCATGACTATGTAATTTTTATACCATTAGTTCAAACCTATTATTTACTACAAATCTTTTTTCTAACATCTGATAACTGAATTTCTACAACACTTAAGCTCACTTTTAAACCCAACACCTATGGAAGGAAAGTTCAATTAATGTAGGTCATAGTACTCAAATGCTTTCAGTTTCAACCATTATCCGTGACTTTCTTGACCTGAAGTTCAAATTTCTGACAAGGCGTGGGCGATATTTTAGTATTAGGTAGTTTTAGAGCGATATAATTCTCATGTAAGAGCTGAGTTATGTAAATATTTTAAAATTAATAATTATTTTTATGAATCAAAAGCAGTTGAAATCTTTTGAACTGTATTTTGCATGTAGAAAAAAATTGTACTGAAATTGAATCAATGCTTTTCTTTTTAAACCTTTAATATCAATTATTTTTAAAAATGCGTAAATTACAAAACGGAACACCGTGAATTAATTTTCATCTTTTGATATTTTTATTTATTGATATTTTTATCTATATTGGTTCCTTAGAATCAATCTTAATGGTGAAAAAGGGTGACCTGAAATATGCTAATTAATTATTGCCGACTAAATTTTAAGTTAAGAAATCATAAGCAAAAAGGAACATTCTCTGAATAAGCATACTTTTAGTTTCGCCGGACTTGCATTCTCAAGATATAGGGGGTTGTTGTTGTTAATTTACGTCGCACTAGAGCTGCACAATGGGCTATTGGCGACGGTCTGGGAAACATCCCGGAGGATGATCCGAAGACATGCCATCACAATTGTGATCCTCTGAGGAGGGGCTGGCTGGCACCCTCGCTTCGGTAGCCCGACGACCTGCGCGGGAAGTCGAGCTTTTTACAGTAGCACAGTTTAACGAGGACCAATACCGCACACCCTCGGTCCCTACGCAGACTGATCCAAGTGGTCACCCACCCGTACACTGACCGCAGCCAGTGATGCTTGACTTCGGTGATCTGCTGGGAACCGTGTCTTAACGATCAGTCCACTCAAGATATAGGGAGAGGAAATATAGTCCTAATAATTTAGGTCGAGGAGCAGCCGAAAGTTTAGTCCCCGTAATGCTAATTTCACTTTTTGCGTATTTCTACGTAACTCTGCAACTGAGCGAATAAAGACAATATCGCCCACGGGTATAAAACTTGTTTATCCAAAGATAATTCCATGTAAAAGTTATTATAATTTTTTTATGTTACCACAAAGAACGTTTAGACATTTAAAAATCACCTTTAGATTGTAAATTTGACTTTAATTGTTGAAGCTAAAAATAGAAATGTGAAAAGAATGTCATGGTGCAACACTTTTCTCTAATGTACTGCAATGTAATTTAACTAATACACATATATATGCATTTAGTGTAGCTAATTTTAAAACTACTAACTTTTGGAGTATTTTATTTAAGAATAGACATTTATTAACCATATATATAACATCAAGCCTAGGCATTCCAATTTTGAAAAGCCATTTTTGAATCAACTCTCAAAGAAATGAGCTATATCTTATTTAAAGATCAATTTCTTATTACAAAATTCTTATTAGACTAAAGATAGTGTGATAACAGGACTCAAAATTATACTCCATTACATTCCGCGAATATAAGAGGGTTTTCGTTATATATATATCTCTACTAGGTGAAGCCTGTATAAAAAAGTAAAATTAAAATTTATAAATTCTGTCACTTTACCTAATCGCATAAAATTGAAAGTTATCGAACATTTGTGTGCTATTTCTAAACACACAAACTACTTTAAAAGTTAATATTTCATTAAAAGTCTTACCAATGCCATTTAATAGTTTATGGTGGATTTAAATCTGACTTGCTTATTTTTTTCTTCTGATAGGTAAGAACACGAACTGGAGAAGTGCCACTTATACGCCTTCGAAATCCTTGGGGTAAAGGAGAATGGAATGGCCCCTGGAGTGATCGCTCTTGGGAATGGGACAGTCTTCCCGAGAGGGACCAAGAGCTTTTGAGTGTCAGAATCAGAAATGATGGAGAATTTTGGTAAGACTAAAAAGAACATCATCTCATAGCATTGTATCATCACATAGCATTGCAAATATAGAAACTGCTTTCACAATTTGCAATTAGTTAAATAATCATTTAACTCATTAAAGCGCTCATTTTAAGGACAGAACGGTTATTCTACATTTCATTTACAGAATATATTTTATTTTATTTTATAACCATCGTTGAACAGCCGACCCAATTTTATGGGTTTACGACTACTAATGTTTAACTCCATAGTCTTGTGATTTTGAACCCAATCTAGAATACAAGGGAACTCCTGGATCGAGTATTGGGAGAAATTTGCCTTCGTGGAGGACTTTTTGATGGAGCTAACCCGCATTTGCGTTACATGGAGAGGAAGACCACGAGAACCTCCCACGGTTAGCCTGACGGCAAGGGGACTCTAACCCATGATCCGTCTACCACTGAGGATATTTCACGTCAGCACTGTGGTCGGTGCAAGCCGGATGCGGAATTCGTATCGACTGGGATTCGAACCCGGTTCGCCTCATTGGAAGGCGAACGCTCTATCCCCTGGGCCATAGCGGCTCTTACAGATTATATTATAATCTCCCCGAAATTGTTTCATTATACTTATTTAATGTTCTTTTTTTAAATTAAACATAATTGAACCCATATCAATTTCAGTCACGCCATGGCAGAAATAAACACCACTGCCACTTATTGAAGTGGTGTTTATTCCCACCATTCTGCCAAGTGTGCCGTTAGTCAAAGTGAAAATAAACTAGCTAGCATTTAAACCTGATCGGGGATACACTTGGAAAATTGTGGTCGTAGATGTTAAATATTTGTGAAAACAATTGTTTGATTTCTTTAAATAAATTTTTTTTCTAAACTTAAATGGTTTAAAATAGTTGTATGTTATGAAGTACTTGATTTTCCTTGCCCTAGAGAATGTCGCGAACTAGCAGTAGCACTTGACTAGTCATGAATGTCGTCGAATGTAATTTCTGCATTCACGTGCTTGCTAATCGAACCTAATCACCCTAACGCTCCCGAAACAAATGTACATACAGTTGAAGCCATAATGTTAGTACATCAAATGTTAATACTATGCAAATTTTCTACTGAATAAGTTTTTTGTAAAATTGAGACTTTCTTTCTTTCAATTTGAGCCAATTTCGTGTAATCAAGCTTACTACAGTGTTATATATTTAACAGCATGCTGAACCATAACATTGTTCAAATAAGCTGAAACCTTAATATGGTGCATACTGTAATTTATTTAGATTCTCTATATTGTTCAACTTGAACAGAACCGTGGTTCAATATAAAATGATAGTAAGGTTTAAGCATATTTACACGATATCAGTGTACTAAAATTATGGCTTAACATTGATCAGATTTTATAAGAGAACCGATGCATCCCTTTTAAAGAATATTCGATTTTTCATTCACTCAAATTAACTTCCACTTCAACTTTTCCTGCCGAAGAAGTTCCAATAATTTATGCAATACAAAAAATTTTACTTAACTTGGCAGATTTTTAAAATTGGAACAATTTTTAACGATATTATCATTTGATATAGATTACAAATTTTCTCAATGTATATCGTAATTCAAAGGAAATGACGAGTACGCAATCAAATATGTCTTAAATGAAAAAATAGAATAACAATAAAAATAATAAAATTGAATAATTGGGTAAGTGTGCCACATTTTCGAAATTATCGAATGTTTTACTCAGCTGCGGAAGGGAAGGTCCGACAAAATATCTTAAATAGAATTATTTTCTCCCATTTTATCTGCATGATCAATTCCTTTTTATTCTATTGGGTACATTTTTAAGGGAGTTTCTTCACTGAATTAAATGAACAAGGTTTTATGTAGTAGATAACTTGATGAAGCCAGATATTTCCTTTAGAAGGAACAAAGAAAAGGGGATATGGGTGCAGCCTTAAAAGCAATCAAGTTTATCAAAAGTAAATTGATGTTGTAGAATTGTATTAAGACTTAAGAGTAAAAACTGCACCTACTTATGTTTATATGTAGGCGCCATGAAAGCAATTCATCTTAAACATTCGGTTACTAGGGAAATAAAAGGCTTCTATAACATGTTTTTTTTACCCTGATAAAACTTTTCAGTAATTAAATGAACAATGTTTTTCAGAAAGATTCTCTTTCAAAAATAAATTCAGAACAGTCATAAGCCTTGCACCTGAGGCAAAACTATAATTTTAAAATATATGTATGTAGCATTTTGCCGTAAAGAATTATCTAGCCTTTAGGGCAGGCTAATAATGTACTCAAAAATAAAAATAAAAATTTTGAATTTTTTTTGTTTACTTATAAGAAAACTATGAAAAATCAATAAATATTTCTCAATTTTCGCAAAATTTGTTAAGAGTCCAGATAATACAGCTTTGAGGTTACTTTTGTAAACATTAAAAATTAGATCGCAAACAAAATGTGCTGCAGCAAGTAATTAGCAAATTACAAGACTTTTGATTTTTAGTCATAATGACATTTTCCACAATTTTCAGAATTGGTATAGAGGGCGTAGAATTTTGAAATTGCGCTTTTTTATTCTTTAACTTTTTTTTGAAGAACTAGTATCATTCGATAACACAATACGAGTCATGGTGGCTCAGAGGATAGAGCACTCACCTTCCGATGAAGAGACCCGGGTTCGACCCTAGTTATGTCTGATCGATTCGAATTCTTTAGCGGGCTCGCTCCGACCATAATGCTGATGTAAAATATCGTCAGTAGTAGACGGATCATGGGTTAGAGTTCCCTTGCTGTCAGGATAAACTTGAGAGATTTTCGTGCTTTTCCTCATTATGTAACGCAAATGCGGGTGAGTTCCATCAAAAAGTCTTCCACGAAGCAAAATCTCCCTCAAAACTTGATCCAAGAGTTCCAAAGTCCTCCAAATTGGCTTCAAAATTAAAAGGCTACTGGAATTAAAAGGAATATTGGTAGTCGGAAACAAAAATTTGGTTTCTCTGATCAACGACGGTCATAAAAAAACAAACATTTTTCAGAAAAGATTAGATATGAGATCCTTTTATAAAATTAGGGAAAATAGCACTGGATAAATTTTAGAAATTTCTATAGATTTTACCTCAAAACTTTAAATCAATAAAGTTATTATCGTTTTGAGTCAGTTGCTTAAAGTTATACGTCTGTCAGTTATAAGATTTTTTAAAACGTAATTTTACTACTGTTCAAACTGATGAAAACTGATTTGGATGATACTGAAAAAAAATTGCACTGAAACATGAATATTTATCAAAACTCTAAAAATTAACAAATGTATAATTCTATCTACCTTTCGAAAAATGTTGATTGTAGATTAGTATTGTTATAATATTCTCAGAGAGAAAACGGAATGAATAATCTGAAATACCGCACTCATGAGTTCTTAGATTATAATTGGATGACGACATTATATTTTACATGTTTTTAAAAATACACAGTAAAAAATTCCTGATCAAATTACGGTATGAAATATCGGCACTTCGGACGCATTATCCACAAAATCCTTTTTATCCGAAAATCCATTTTTATCGAAAATATTGAACAGTAATTAAAGTAATATTTATTTAAATAGAGTGATTTAGGGATTTTACCGTAATTATAACTGTAAAAACTACGGTAAATTATTTTTACAGTAATTTTTATTTAATTAAAGTGATTCAGTCAGAAATATAGCAAAGGAAGGATTAAGGAATATTTAAATACAATTATGCTGTACCTTTGGCATGCACTGTACAAAATTTCGAATCACTTTACCGTATAAAGTACCGGCACTTTGGGTACATGATCCGGAAAGCCCATTTTTATCATAAAATGTTACCGTAATTTTTACAGCAATATTTATATAAAATTCGGTGATTTTACCATAATTATTACAGTAAAAATTACGGTATATCGGATTTTTTTTTGTTCCGTAACATGTTCCAGTAAAAATTAATTTCACGGTAAAAAGTGAAATCATGGTGAGTGCCAGTACTTTTTTACCGTAATTTTATCCGGAATTTTTTACAGTGTACTGCTGAACGATGTAAAAATTCACCATAAGTGTATTTGGGAAAGGAATAAAAATATATTTAGATTTTTCCTTCCTAGTCTTATCACTTCCGAAATTGAATTTGATTGAAAAGAGAAAGGTTTCTTAATCTTCTAATATTTTAAAAAAAAATTGAATTTTTTATTCTTATGGTATTATAAATGTTGAGATTCAGTGTGCCTTTGCAGGATGTCTTTCGAAGATTTCCTTCGTAATTTCACATTCCTAGATCTTCTCCATGTGGGACCGGATGACTGGATGCTGGAGTCTGCTCTCCACAGCAAGAGACCCTGGCGGGCGGTCCTCGCGCGCAGGAGATGGAGAGTCGGCTTTAATGCCGGAGGAGGACCCCAGTACAAAGGTATCTCCCTTTAAGTTTCAGATGAATATTGATATCTCTTGCTCAATGTGGTCTTATTCAGTCACTAACAGTTCGGAAATTGATATTTTAGTATACAAATGAATGGGGACTATTGGTGACTGCCTTAAGCCTTAAGCAAGCAACTGACAGAAAATTGAACACAAGATTTTAATGAACACAGAATTTTAAATAAAAAAAAAATAATGAAGCATTTAAAAATTTACAAGAAAAAAACTGATTGATAACCCAAACAAACAAAACTAAAATGAAGAATGCTCCGAACGACGTCTGCATTGTTAATTGTTCTAAGTCATCTTAACTCTTTCTTAGTTTAGTTAAAACTATGGGGCATCGTAAACCACTACCTATTTTTATAATATCTCACTGGTTTTGAATTTTGAAGATGGATTACAATACTATTAATTTTTACATTATTGGAACATAGCAATAAAAAATGGAAAAAAGGAAATTAATATATATTTTTTTATGTATATTGGGATTAAATTTAAAGAAAGACACAATAAATGAACATATATAAGAAGAGTGCGCAAAACTATTATTTTTATAAAAATATATTACAGATGATGAAGTTTTTCTGAATACCCTTAAAATTCTAAGTTATAGACCATTTTTTTAATCAATTACTTCATTAAAATTGGTATTTATTTAGATTATAGATAAGTAATAAATAATCATAGCAGAATATTCTTGTCTGTATTATATTTTGATCTGAACTTTATATTACGTTAAATGTAAGTGATCTAAACTTATTGTGTAATCCAAAGTTATTTCCACAAAAACATTGACATTTCTTCTTAACTTCAAGTTTAATTTATTCGAGTTCTTTCACTCGAAACGAGCTAAATTAGAAAAGGAAAATTTTTTATGACACAGAGTTTCATGAAATCACTTATTATAGTTAATATTTCTGTAATTCTATTAAAATTTTGACAGAAATTTTGAATTACATTTATTGGACTGGAGCTCGCGATAAAGTCAATACACTTTCAAACTTAATCTAGCCACTCTAGTGGTTTAATGATTATTTTCAATTAAATATTAAAAAAAGAATGACAATCACTGATGCTTTGAGTGACATACCCACAGAAAAATATAGTAAGAGTTTTCACTCAAATGTTTTAGCATGTAAAAAAGCGACGCGTTATCATTATTTTTTTTTCCAATGAAAGGCGCGAGGAAAAATGGCAACTTTCACTCAAACTGTATCAGCGACAAGCAACGATAAAAAACTTAACTATTGGTTAGATTGTTGAGTTTATTGTTTTTTTTTAATTTTTTTTATGAATTTTAATTCACTGCAATCCGTTTTTTCGCTTATTTTTCTTGTTGTATTTAATCTTTTAAAAGTTTAGAAATTAATTCCTTAAAAATGTCTTACGTTAATGAAGACAAAAGCACTTTTTGCATAATGAATTAGGATTTATTTTAATTTCTATGTATTTCCTTTATTCTAAAATGTATTTGTAATGTAATGTAATGTAATGTAATGTTGAACAACATGCATATTTACATGGTTGACATGCACTGTTGATCTTTTATAACTATTTGAAGAATAAATACGAGAAAAATCGTGATTAAAAGGAAGATTTTTCTCTGCTTACAGTACAATTTACCGTAGGACAAAAAAATAAACAAGAGTAAATAAAAATATGACAGAAGTTTCCACAAATAGTAGAACTAAAATATAAGATAAAAGAACTGGATTGTTTAGAAAATGTGGCGTTTCTACACAAATGCACAATGTGAAAAAAATTCATAACACTAACATAAATCCACTCAATTCAATCTAAATTCAATGATTATTACTAAAATGAAGCAGAAAGACTCAACTTTAAAACCATAAATCACAAATAATTGTTATTCAATCATACTACAAATGTAATCATACAGAAATAAATAAAAATATGGCAGATAAACTAAATTATATACCGTAGAGTGTCAACTATTCATATCTAGTGAATAAACTATTCGTTTCCTTTAAGTGTTGCTTGAGAGCGGATGGGACAGTTTTACTAGGAGGAAGAGTCGTGAAGACGTAGAGTGGATTGTTCTTAAGTATTGTCGTTCATGTTCATAGTTTAAACCCATATAAGCATCCCACAAATAAATCGAAACTATTTCTAAATTCTAATACTATATAAATAAGTTAAAAATCTTTGATGTGGCAAAGCTGTATTTCTAAGCATTTTTTTCTTTTTTCAGACACAACTGCAATGAATCCTCAGTTTCGTGTTCACATAGCAAAAAGTGGTGCCAAAAAATGTCACGTAGTAGTTTCGATTCTCCAATTTTATTCTCTGGGTTTGCAGAGCATGGAGCAAAATAAGAAACATCCCCTTCTTCCACTTGGTTTCACTGTTTATGAGGTAAGCCTAACTATTTGATATCTTGAAGCGTGTTGAACCATTATATTGCTGAAAACTACAACAAATTTAATACCATGCTAATATTTACTTTGAGCCAAGAAAGGAGCATATGATTCTAGCAACAGCCATTTGTTGGTTAAGGGGTGATTGAGGCTAAGGCCCATAATTACAAGATGGTGGCAATGTGGCCAGCATTACGCACCGGCCACCTTTGCTTCAGGGACAAGCTAGTACTCATAGACATAGGGCAGAAATAATGGTCTTCACTAATCTCAGGGCGGCGGATAACTACAACAAGTGGCGATTAAAAAAATTGTCAGCCAATCACCACTTTTTTCTTCTAAAATGTTTTTATGTGCATTGTATTATTATTATTTTTCATGAATACAGAATTATTATGAACGTTTTATAACATTCAGTAAATTACTTTGCTTCGCACTCGTTTCTTAAAAATCTTTCCTCATTTTAGAAATTGATCTTGTAATATTTGTCATAGTTTGAGATATGTTTAATTTTATTTTATAACAGTCGTTGAACAGCTGACCTAATTTTAAGTTTACGACTGCTTAATGTTTAACTCCTTAGCCTTGTAATCAATCCAATCCAGAACACAAGGGAATTCCAGGATCAAGTACGGAGAGAAATTTGCCTTCATGGAGGACTTTTTGGGGAAACTAACCCGCATTTCAGTTGCATGAAGAGGAAAACCACGAAAAACTTCGTTAGCCTGATGGCAAAGGGGAACCTAACCCATGGTCCGTCTACCACTGAGGATAATTTACGTCAGCACTCTGGTCGGTGTAAGTCCGGTGCGAAATTCGTATCGACCAGCCATCGCTGCGATCCGAACTAGGTCCACTTCATTGGAAGGAGAACGCTCTATCTCTTGAACCACCACGGCTGTTTAAGATGTATATGGAAAAAAAAATTGTGCGTGGAATCCCTCCGCGCGGAAGAAGTTAAACTTCGCAACCTGCGACGTTAATTGTAGAAGAATCAGCAGCCGTAGAAGGATCACTAGTTCTATTCCACAACTCTTTTTCCTGCTCCACTCGCTTCCGTGCTCTGTAATCACGGTAATATTGTGCATTTTTCCCTCGTGGACCAGTGGAAGTGCTTGTGGTTGCCTCATCGTCTCGCCCTGGGAAATGTATTTGCATTAATAATGTATGTGAATGCGTCATAATGTAATTTCAGAAGAGACAACTTAACAATCAATTGATATTCACAAGAGACGTACCTTGACATAACCTTAAATCCGTCGCATTGTCCGTGGGATTGTTTTCACTCATTTTTTACAATTGTTATCCACTAAATTTGAA